CCCCACCCCTTTCCCCCCATTTCCCTTACCGGATTCCGCTGGCCACTACACTCAGCCTTTACAACGAAATTTTTGTTGTGAATGGAGGACAAACTACTAAAGTAAATACTAGTAAATGTGTAAAGGCATACTAGATGGAGATTGTTTACAGGCATAGCAAACTTAATTTGCTGCGTAGTTTTAAAAAGAGAAATTATGTCTTTGCTACTAATAATCCATGAGAAGCAAAATTACTTACTCACACATTGCAGGAAAGAAATTTTGAATTAATTTAATGTAATACCCTTGGACAGGAAAGCGCGAAAGAAGTGACATAAATCTGGTCAATCTGGTAGTATTCAGTGTCTTTGGCAATCTTAATTCATTTCTAAAGTCTTCAAACCCTTAACACCAAAAGCAATACTCATCTCTTTTTCTCACAAGGGAAGGTTTTCCGGTGATACAGTCAGATTTCAAAGGCGCTTTAAAGAGTAGTTGTTTGCACCTCTAGAATAGGATTGGCACTGGTTTTAGCTGCCCGCAGAGAGTTTGGGGGTCATTTCACAAGAATTTCATCAAAAATTTCCCAAATTCATCGTTTTTTTGCCATCTTTGAATGCACATATCTCCGAAACCGTTTCAGCTACCGCGCCCAGATTTTGCAGGTAATTATCCTTCAATTAGTACTTTCCATGAAAAATATTTGAACCAAATCAATGGGGTTCGCCAAAAGGAGCCTAGGGTCGCAACCCCCTCTCCGGACCCGTTTTTGCGACCCTAATCGATTTCGTTCAAATTTTCTACAAGTAAAGAACGTGCTAAATTATGATTTCCCTCAAAATCTGGGCGCTGTAGCTCAAACGGTTCTTGAGATACGTGCATGTAAAGTTGATAATCAGGCTACAAAGTTTGGAGAATTTTCAATTAAATTTGCGTAAAACGACCTTCAAACTCCCTACGGGCAGCTAAAACCAATGCAAAACTTAATCTAGGGATGAAAGCAACAAGACTTTGAAGCGCCATTGAAATCTGAGTGTATCACCGGAAAACCTTCCCTTGTCAGTATATCCTCACTAAGAACTTGCAAAATTCTCTGTACAAAGTAGGAAAAAAAATCTGAGTATTATTCCGCATGAATGATGCCGAAAGAAAGGGTTCGTTCGCATTTCAATCACACAAATACCCCTGCCCTTCCCCCCTTACCCGATCTCTGCTCGCGTGCCCCTCACGGAGCAGCCCGGCTTGCACCGTTCTACACACGGCTGGTGTGAATGGTCGGAGTCTCTATGCCAGCCGTCTGCCGGTCGGACTGCGTGCGGCCCCGCTGTCGACCTGCCGTGTCTGCCGTGGATAGAGTCTAATAATTGACGAATCAATTATGACAGTGGGGCTCGCCTGGGGCCTGGGAGAGGCGCCAGCTGGTTGGTGGGCCCGAGGCACGGAACGTACCCGCACCCGCCGACCGGACAAGCACCCCTTAATAAAACCAGTGCGCCTTTTAACTTCTGAAAACATGAATGTATTACCCTGCTTTCTTTAGCCTTGATATATACTCTC